TTAAAAATTTTAAAAAATATAAAAATTATAATAAAGTTTATCTTTTCATCATTTCAGACTGAAATTTTGGAATTGCATGATACTAAGTCAAAGATGTTAGGTTAATGTGTTTTTTTTCTTTTAAAAACTTTTAATATTTTACATATTTATCTTTGATATTCCCTTTTTGCCCAATATTTATATTACTAACATTAGTACAAATGTTAGTAGTAAACTAACATTAGTAGTCGTAGTGCTTTACATTTGTGTTTATTTTTTGATAAAAAAAATATCAGAAGAAAAATCTGGGATGGATCTATATATTTCAGTTCTTGGCTTTTCGTTTATATTGTTTCTTTATATTAACAAAGAAATATTCAAGCATGAGATTTCATAGGTGGTTATGTTAAAGGTTTTGAATATGAAAGTGTGGGAAAGCTTACTTGATTGTAAGAAGAAGTTCAGCCTTTTCTATATCATGATTTTTAAATACATATTCTGTAATTACATTAACCTTGAAGGATATGCACTCTAGTGTTCATTGGATCACCAATGAAAGGCACATTGATATTGTAAACATCTATCACTTTGGCTTCAGTTCTGTCATCTTGGACCATTACACAACTTTGCAATCTCTAGAGACAGACCAGATATTCTTCTGGCTGCTTGCTGAGCAGAACATTAAGTTGTAGTTATCTGCGCAAGTAGAGTATGTCATAATCCATGAGTTTTTTTCACGAACGTGCCTCAAGAATCCACACACAGCAGGCCTGTATATTTGATTGGAGTATATGAAGCAGTGTGATCCATGCAATGCAATTATACACATCTCTTTCCAGGTATGTAATACATTAGTGGGAGAATTAGGAATGTTTGTAAACAGCTGATTTACAAACCTTCTGATGTTGAAAGGTTAGGAATATATTCAATGGAATCGTTGCCCCCATCAATGAAAGTTCCCATGTAAGTCAATGCTTGAAGTGCCTAAAAAAAGATAAACAAATCACAAACTTTAATGAGCATATCACCTCAAGTGCTGGGTTCTTTCAAATGTTCCCCTGCAAAGATCCAGTGCATTGTTCTAGACTCTAACGATTTCTGCATAAAAGCTTCAGATGCTTCAACATCAGAAATCAAAGAGTAAAGGCACAGATGTAAAGGCAAAGGTTTATTTTTTTTAAGGAATGTCAAAGTTCCTTTGTTCCATACAGTTGATCAACAAAATGCGAAGGTATAGCTACTTGGAACGTGTCTTGTCCAAGGTGAAGCTGGCCCTTTAGCGTGATGTGTTCCTTTATAGGTCCTGCATATTTACATATTTTACATATTGCTTCATCTTTAGAAGTTTGTTGCAATCTTGATCCGCAGCATAATGAACAAACTGTGTGTATAAAAACTGGACAAAGCTTATCTACTTCAAAGTATCCAGGTATCTGCAAAACAACGTGTATTTAATATGGGCTTGTTTCATTTCCTTTCGCACTTACCCCTGTGCATTCCCTTGCAATATTCCGAAAAAGTCCCAGCTACGCTGGGAGCATAGTGCATTGTATACATTGTACATTGTATACATAGAATATTGCATTCCCTTGCAATATTCCGAAAAACAGAGTCAAGGAATTATTTTGGCATCATCTATTATACATGAAACAATGCTCATGCCTGTGACATTTGCTCTCTTGAAATAACCGTCTCCTTGTAAATTAATGAAACATCTTGTTGGTGGAGTTCCAGAAAAACATTCATTCATCAACTCTTTGAATAATTCCATTATGTTGCCATGGAATTTGAGCTGCCATCATATAGATTATTGTCAGGGATCCACATGCTATATTGAACTTACTATATCATATCAGACTCGTTGATGTTATCTGTTATTGTGAGTTGACCACTGTTGTAGCCTATATCATTGATACTCACTACAACACCTTCAACAGAACCTACAGAGTCTCGGCCTCTACATGACTCCACAAAGTTTGCAATGCTGATAGTTGGTACAGACAGACGAAATTGTGGCACTATAAGCTATTACCTAAAAGCTTACGTTTTCTTCCTAGCATAATAGATGCTCATCATTGTGGTGGGTCAATAAAAAGAGGAGATGCACTGGGCCTGGGTTGGAACTCAAGTCATCATGTTGTTTCGCATTTCTCTAGCATGACTCCACATTCAAATATATATAGCCACAGATACCACCTACTCAAAAATAAACTGGAGATAACCATAAAGGAAGTGCATAGAAAGAAAAATAGGCAGCTAGCCTCTTCCCACTCTTTCATGCACTGTGGTCCATGCACTGTGTGCGAGTGGAATCCCGAATGGGACAGCCTTTTGCCCGATGAGCAGGCCAGGCTCAAGGCTCGGCAGGGCGTGAAATACGTTTGCCTCGATGGCTTACAGGTGCTCAACTCCGAGCTAGCAAGCAAAAAAAATTAGCAGAAGCAGCAAGCGAGTAAGGAGTGACGAAGAACCAAACAAATAAGACAAATACATTATCAGAGATGAAACTCTAGAACTGGTTGCCAAGGACGGTGTCACCATTGGCGAAGTTTGCATACGTGGGAACATGGTGTTCAAGGGATACTTGAACAATCCAGACTCTGGGGACTTGGCAGTTTGGCATCCCAATGGATACATCAAGATCAAGGATCGAGCCAAGGATATTATCATTTCTGGAGGGGAGAACATTAGCAGCCTGGAAGTGGAGAGCATCTTGTACAGGTAAAAGGAGAGTTTTTCCTTCTTTGTTTCTTGTTAAAGTTTGCTTCTTTTTCATCCAGGCATCCAGCAGTGTTGGAAGCTGCTGTGGTGGCGCAGCCAGATGAGCAGTGGTCCATGTGCGTTTGTGTCCCTCAAGCACGGCGTGAGAAGCAACAAGGAGGAGATACTCTTGTTGTATCGACAGCATTTACCGAAGTTCATGGTGCCAAAGAGCATCGTCATTCTCACAGCCTTGGACAAAACTGCGACTGGCAAGATCCAAAAACAGGTGCTGTGCAGCAAAGCAAGAGCTCTTGGCAGTGTCAAGTAAATCAGCAAGCTCTACAAGCCAACTATTGAACTTGTAAAGCTTGAAATCGTTCATGGCCTGGAAAATCCCCAATCTAGCCTGGCAATTTGAAATCGGTCAGCTACTGTCCGTCCGTTGTAATGTACTGGAATGAAAAATAAATAAATAACATGCAAGAACCAAGAACGCAATTCATCTACCTCAAACAGTAGCTTTGTCTTATCAGCTGTCACTCTTGCATATCCAAATGCCGACCTTCGAATCAAGCTCCATGAACTAAACTGTCGACAAAAAAAATAGAAAAGGTAGAATATCAATACCATATAAAGAGCTTGAATATAGGAAACAAAGCTGCAAGCTTACATTATGAGGGAAGTCATCCAAGGTGAATTCAGCCATGCCAACCACGGTGTGAACTGGAGCTGAGTAAATTGTAGTGTCAAAGAAATCGACGCCTGCTAAATCCTTGATCGGGTGCTGCAGGCAGCGCCCTGAAACACAGCACAAGTTCGCAGGTAATTGTGAACTTGCCCCCACACTGCTAAATCAACCTGTGCAAAAAAAAAAAGAAAAAAGAAAAAAGACAGTTTCATTCTAGTTTTCCCTTTGAAGAGCTCGTGTTTTACCTTGTTTCTCAAGAGCAATGGTTCCACAGCTGCTACAAATTTCGGATCCACACCTGGTAAAGTTTAGAAATAAATCCCCCGCAGTTGAGTGGAGTACATAGGTCGATGACTGAAAGAAAAATAGCACACATGAGTTTACAGAATGAAAATGTGAATAAAAACAGTTACCCTGTGAAAACTATCCATGGTGTACTGAATCTGCCGACAGATTCAAGGTCAGATTTCATCCAAGCGTACTGTAGAAGAAGGTTTCGTTGAAGGAAAGATGAAAAGAATAAGAATGCATACTTGTTCGCTGGTCGAGCTCCAGTCATGTTCTGTAGAGATGACTGTGAAATGCATGGGGCGAATAGCCATGGAGCCGTGGAGCTGTGGCTGTCCCGAGGAGAAGTACAGGGACGAAAATTTCTTTTTTTTCTCTTGGTTACAGCCTCGAGCACCTGGCACAAACAGGAACTTTAAGCCTCGAAAGAGAATAGCAAAAAGCAAGAGAGTGAAAAACCTTGATTCTAGTCGTGGTTCCAGCCTCGAGAACCTGGAACAAATAGGGGCTTGAGAGTCTCGAAAAAAGACTGTCATTTTTCCGGCGCATGGCCATTGACAACGGTTTCCTGAGCTTTTCAATCGGTAGCAGCTTCAGATCTTCACGTACAGCTGATTGTAGCTCTGAGGTGCTCTGCAATGAAGACCGCATCAAACACACACACACACAGAGACAGAGAGAGAGAGAGAGAGAGAGAGTACCTTCCCACAAGCGATGATCGACGCTCTCTCCTCGTGCTCACGCGCCCTAAAAGACAATTAAAAGTTTTTATGATCCCAAAAGTCACGACTCCCCATTGTTTAATCTCAGCCGTTAGATTTTGGCATATGCCCAGAATAAGTGACGCCAGCATATGCTATTATTATATCGGCTCTTTCGTTTAAATATATGAGTATGATGATGGTCAGGTGGACAGTTAGTTAGGTTAAGGTTATAAGCTCATGACAAAATTTCCTCTATTTTTTTGAGATGGATAATTAAGCAACATAATCAGATCTCAGGATCTCATCCAACGGCCCTTATTCTCATGGTATATTCTTAGAGCCCTTTTGCCCCTTTTCCTCGTTTAGGGCATAGGAAAAAGTTAGGGTTTTTTTTCATGGCTATGGCGAATCGATTGGCGATGAGGAAGGAGAGGGAGAGGAGGACGGAGGAGCGGAGGAAGCTGGAGAGGGCGCATAACTGGGAGGATGGCACTGATCCATGGGAGGACGAGGTCTTCTACAACGAGCGGATCAGGAATCTGTCCAAGAGATTGACGAAAGAGCAGATCGATGCGGTCACGGCCAATTCGAGCCCAGATCACGCACGCATTCTCCGGGAGTGGTGCGAGCAGATGGATGCCCGCCTTGCTTCTAAACCCAAGCGGCAGCCTCTTGGTGAGACTTGTAAGAATTCTGAGAATAATCCTTAAAAGAGGGCTCCGAAGGGGCTTTTCTTGTAGTGTTCTTGTGATGCTTGTGATGATCGCCCATGGCTAGGGTTCTTAGGGTTTTGTGATGCGTGGCGCTGGACGATCGGGGAAGGGTGGCGCCGGGAATAGCCGTGCTGCTGGACGATCGGGGAGGGGCGGCGCTGGACGATTGGGGAATGGCGGCGTTGGCGCCGGCGCAAGAACAGGCAAGGATATTTCTCCTCTTCCTCTAGGTAGTGATTGCGTATTCCTCGTGAGTAAAAAGAGAAGCGTCTTTCAGGTGAGTTGATGGTGCTTTTCTTTGGTTCGTGTTCTTTATCTTCGGCTTTGTGTTCCTAGGTGATAATGTAAGAACAACCTCGAGTGTTCCAATCTTGTTCTTTCTTTACTTAGTTATTTTATTCGTTTTTCTAGATCCTGAGGACAAAGACGGCAAACAGCCTCTTGCTGCGCCTGAGGACGAAGAAGGGAAACGGCCTCTTTCCGCTGAAGGTGAGTTCATGGTGCTTTTTTTGGTTCGTGTTTTTGCTTTAACTCTCTTTTGTCATCTGTAGGTGGTGAGGTACCTGTGCTTGCACCCAACGGCGAAGGAAAACCGCCTCACGGTGCCCTTTCTTTTCTTTTTGTTCTTCATTTCCTGAATTTCTTTTTTTTCTTGCCCTTTGTTTGTAGGTGGTAATGTGCTGTGTGCAGTTAAATATCGAGACATGAGCTTCTCGATGAGGTATAATGGCACAACCGCAGGATTTTTCCAGCGAATCAAGCTCTGCTGTGGGCTCAATGAAGGAATGCTTCTCATAAACGGTAAAATGTTCTCATCTAGTTTCTCTGGTGAGCTGGTAAAGATCAAGGTAATAAATCCTTGCTTTATCCTCTTTAGTTTTTAATTTTTGCGTCGTTGTTTGTTTAGGGGACTGTCATTGTATTGGGGAAAAGCATTATTGAAGAATATGACAACATCGCTGAAGAAGTTATTGAGGAAGCTTGCGAACTGATGGAAGCTACGAAGGTTAGCAATTCCAGGTGCTATGACATTACTCCTCCGCATGTGATGTATTGGGATCGTAGGATCCCCCAAGATGCGAACGTGAATACCTTACCTGTTTATCCCGAGATCCAGAAATCAACATCCTGAAGCTCGTATACTCCTGGAGGTTCGGATGCAGGGTGTCTAAACGACTTGACACTGTCGACTGTGAAGCTCTCATTCAGGTAGTTATGTTTTCTGGTTAATGTGGTATAGTTTTTTTTATGGTTTCTTCATGCAGAAGCGAGAAGACCGTTCGATAATCTTGTTGCAGATGAGAGATTCGGACACAGAAAACCTACTCCCATACGACACTGTCAAACATCGATTGACACATTTGGCCTGCCACTTGGATCATCCTCTTCATGACGATCAGTTTGAAGAAAAAGTGAAGGATGCGACAAGGCTTCAACACTCAGTTAGCATGTCTATCTGGGTGAAACACGCTGAGAAGAAGTTAACAGCCGATGTTGCTCGCTTGATTGGTGCTGGTAAGCTATGTTTGTTTATGGTATAATCTGAATTTTGTCTTTGTAGATTCTGAGGGTGCTTTGGGGGCTATACCAGGTAAGATGTTTGTTAGTGTTGGCCTTTTTGTTAACTTTTATATTCCAGAACTGTTACGGCCACCTGTCTTTGTGATTCAAGCGATCGTAAGTTCCCATGCTGGTCGCGGGTGGTCGTTGGAATTGTTCGCTCTCGGTATCTTAATGGGTGTCCACCGGCGAATTGAGGCAACAGCCCCAGACGACTTTCTGATAGTCAAGAATGCTGCCTGTGCTGTCATGGTAAAAAATCATAGGTAAGGATTTCCTCATTAGTCCTTTCACAACTTACATTATCTTAATTTCAGATTTCTCTCGTTGTTGGCTGGTGCTGATGTGCAAGGACCATTACTTCAGTTTGTTGGAATCGACGCAGACGCTGATCTCAGTGATCTGGAGCTTGTTTTGAGATCGTGGATGTGTTACCTCTACATTGTCACGAGAGAACACTGCTCAAAGGTATGACACATTCCTGAAAAGTAACAGCTTCTAAAGTTTCATTTTAATGACAACAGCTGACGAAACACTAAGGCTCCCCTTGAGCGCGACATAGGAAAGCGCTGTATAAATTCTCTCCTCAAGAGATGTAAAGTCCGGCTTCACAATTATGACAGGCGAATTTTGGGAATTTGGCGAATTTGGCGAGTTTTTGTTTTTCTCCCGCAGCGGCTACTCGTTGTCCTCCCTCTTATCCAAGTGTACAAAGTCTCGTAAGCTCTCAGCTCTCCCCAAGCTTCCATGTCCGCGGGGGAAAACTTTGTAGAACTCCGGCGCAAGAAGCAGCTCTTGGCATACGTGTTGGCCGCTGTCTTTGGCCTCATCATCCTGATAAAGGTAGTGCCTTTCGTGGATAAAAGTGTTGGACATTTAGTGTGTGAGTGGGTGATAGATGGCAAACTCGTCAAATTTTTTTGTTCTCTTTGGACAAGTTCCTGGAGATCAGGATGAGCTCTTTTACAATGAGTAGATCAAGAACTGTCAATATAGTTCTTGGAGCAAACTCCCACCAAAGGGTGTCCTCAGGTTATATGTGTTCACTCTTGGAGTAAGTTTTATTCTGTTGGAGCAAATTTCACTCTCAAAAAAATTGGGAAGGTTGGGGTAAAATGCTATATCAATCAAATGTTAAACAATTGTGAGTGCATAGGACTGAGACTAAGACTGAAACCAAATCTAAATTCGAGTCCGAATATTAATATAAGTTGTAAGGTCAAAGCTTAAAACTATTGTTGAGGGAGGGGGGGGGGGTTTGTGTTGTGGAAGGGGCTGTGTAGGGGGTTTTAAAAATGTAGTAGGGAGAGTGTGAGGGTTTGATTCTAGTGGAATTAATTTGGCTAGGAAAGGTTTATATGACCTAAGAAGGTTATGCCCACGTATTGGGTGATAATATATCTATTGAAGAGTCCAAGACTAAAGTGAATATAAATTGACAAGTAAAATAGTTTGGTGAAGTACCAGGAGTACCTCAATGACATCAACCCTGGGAGAATCATTGGCCCTAGCATCCACAACTCCACAGGCTACACCACCAGATGTATCCTTGCAAAATACCAAACGAGTGGACGCTCACTTCACGTCAAGCTAAGCCGAAGACAGACACTAGTCATGCCCAGAGATGCTTGCCTCTGCCCCCTGTGAGGAATGGAGACCCTGTTGCATGTCATATATGACTGCCCTGCCTACATGCGACTATGGCTCTTCTTCCCCACACTAGACTTCCATGCCCACAACCTCCTAGCATTCACGGGGAACACGACCACAACATCAATGACTACTCTTTTTCTTCATGCCATGGAACTAGCATTTTGTGAGACACAAAATCCCTAGGCCCCAAAGTGGAGCCGGAAAGGATGCCACGTGGTAGTGGCTGAAGCGAGAGCCAAACGAGCGTAACACGTTTGGACCAAAAGCTCCGACTTGAAAAGTCAAGAGCGGGAGTGGAACTCCCAAAGAAGTGCTCGAGGAACGAGCACGAAGCGAGCAAAAAGCGAGGCTCCAAAAAGGGACCCAAAAGGACCAACACATGACACGTGGGAGAGTCTGAGATGGACCCGAGTTGGAGTCCGAAGTGGAGTCCAAGATGGACCCGAGTTGAAGTCTGAAGTGGAGTCCGAGATGGAGTCTGAAGTGGAGTCCGAGGTGGACCCGAGATGGACCCGAGATGGAGTCTGAAGTGGAGTCCGAGGTGGACCCGAGATGGACCCGAGTTGGAGTCCGAAGTGGAGTCCGAGATGGACCCGAGATGGAGTCCGAGATGGAGTCCGAGATGGAGTCCGAAGTGGAGTCCGAGGTGGACCCGAGATGGACCCGAGATGGAGTCCAAAGTGGAGTCCGAGGTGGACCCGAGATGGACCCGAGTTGGAGTCCGAGGTGGAGTCCGAGATGGACCCGAGATGGAGTCCGAGATGGAGTCCGAGATGGAGTCTGAGGTGGACCCGAGATGGACCCGAAATGGAGTCCGAGATGGAGTCTGAGATGGACCCGAGATGGAGTCCGAGATGGAGTCCGAGATGAACCCGAGATGGACCCGAGATGGAGTCCGAGATGGAGTCCGAGATGGAGTCCGAAGTCGAGACCGAGACCGGGACCGAGACCGAGACCGAGACCGAGACCGAGATCGGGACCGAGACCGAGCCCGAGGCCGAGACCGAGCCCGAGCCCGAGGCCGAGTCCGAGCCCGAGACCGAGCCCGAGTCCGAATCCGAGTCCGAGTCCGAGTCCGAGTCCAAGTCCGGAGCCTGAGAGGGTGAAAGCCCAAAGCGTTTGTCTCCCAGACCCTAGGGGGTTTGGTGAGCTCCAAAAGTATAGTAAGGGGGAGGACTGCAGTGGAGCCAGTTTGGCCAGGAAAGGCCAGTTTGGCCCAGGAAGGCCAAACCCAGTGTTGGGTGATGAACTGACCACTGGGAAGTCCAAGACTAGAGTGAATACGGACCGACAAGCGGGGTAGCTTGGTGAAGTGTTCAAGAGCCGACTCTAGTTCCCCCGGGAGATCGACTGGCCGATGCTCCCAGTCCAAGTGTGGGTGGCACTACCTACTTGGATACCAGGCGTGGCTCAACGGAACCTCGCTCTAAGCCCATGGCTAGAGCACCTAAAGGCAATAGGTGTTGAGAGTACCCAGGTGGCTCGCGTAAGGCCACGGTGTTCCGAAATGTCGTCCCAAAGGCCCAGACTGTGGAAAGGAAGAGGAGCAGTCCTCTGGGGTAGTGACCAAGGACACAGTCGTGTGGTGAGGAAGTCCCAGAGGACCGTGGGACTTAGTGGTCGGGCCTGTGGGCCTCGATCCAGTGGCAGTGTTGGCAAACACGGCCAGGGGCAGAAAGGGACTTGGTAGGAACTGACAAAGGGACTTTGGGGAAGGCGATTCCCCAGGTCTGTGGGCATCCTAAGGATGCTAAGGAGTGGATCTAGGATGACCCCTCGTAGACAGATGGCCCAGTCTTGGAGAGACGGGATGGTGATGCAAGTGGTATTGGACCATTTGCGCAGCAAAGGTGAATGGGCATGGCCTTAGCGTAACGGGCCGAGATGTCAGTGGTACCTTTGGGTGTCGGTCATGGGATCGGACACGTAGAGCACTTGGACCAAGTGCAAAGGTTGAGTGGCATGGATGCCATTCTCGGGGCTAGCAAGCCCCAAGTCCTGAATGGGACTTATGGAGGTTGTGAATGAGACCCCTCCAAGTGGTCGGAGGTGTGGTTAAGTGACTAAAGTAGAATGGAAAAATTAGTCGCTTACAACTTGGTATCGGAGCTGTTCCTTAGTCTGACTTTTATTGGTGCTCAAGTATATCACCACTAGTGTTGGCATCGGAAGGTCCGAGGAGTGGGCCTATCCTTGAGGAGTAGCAAGTCGGGAAGACATGGCTCTCCATTACAGTTCATGTGTGAACTTGTAGACGAGGTGGTGGATAGAAAAGGGCCAATAATGGAACGACTTTGGGATCTTGGGAACAGTGCAAGGTTTTCCTCATTGAGTTGAGGATGTGATCCGGATGAGCATTTGTCTCAGCAAATTGGCTAAGGTTGTTGTGGTAAACAACTAAAGTTGGGATCACGGGAAAGATAGAGACTCCAAAATAATAAAGGAGTCACAAGATTATCCTCATATAGTTGAGGTTGGTACTCATGAATGTGAGACCAGAGGTAATGACCGTGGGAGGTCAAATACGGAAGAGGACTCAAGTCCTTGAAATGGTAGCCGGGGCTACCTTTAATAAATGCTGGAACAACCCAAGGAGTTGGGGGGTGTACTTAGAGATGAGTGGTATTCTCATCGCATGGACAAGTAGTCCTAAAGGGGCAAAAGTTGCCCCCAGAGAACAAAATCAAGTGTCGGAGTAACACTTGTGAAAATAGTCCTTTTGAGTAGGACAGGAATGCAAGAAGTGTATTCCAGTGAGCTAGTGCCTCACAAGTAAGACCTTACGGGTCTGTGGATTAACCAAGTCCAAAACTGCTAGATGACTCGAGTAGAGTCAAGGGATGGTCCTAAAAGGATTGATGGAAGCATTTGGACTGAGGTGTGTTGTACCCCACAAAGGATAGGGGGGGGATCATAGGATCCAAGGATGAGAACAGAGGGTATCTCATCGATGGCAAAATGTGCCATGCTAAAGTTATGGGAAAGGTGTTCCCAGAAGAAAACAACTTTGACACAAAGTTGTGTGTGACCTCTATGGTGCAGTGCTAACGGATGGTTGGCATGAGAAAGGGCGGTGTTGGTCTTGGCAAAGAATTAGATACGAAGGGAAAGTGTCATAGAGGTAGGCTCGTGGAGCCGATGGTGTGGAGACACCAAATGTGTCAAGGTGTGATACCTTGAGGCTATGTTGGTGGGTTCATGAGAACCCCTTGCCAAAGGAATCCCAATGGAAATGGGAATGGCATAGCCTAAGCTGCAGAGCATGCAGTTGGAGTGTGGTGACCCAGATAATGATGGAGGTGTGAAAGCACCAAGCAATGAGTTATAGGACTTGACAACTATGAGGCAACTAAGCAAGAGGTGCAAAATAACTGGTTGAACGGGTAGAAGGTAGCTACCCAAGACTTCTTAATAGCATAGGGAAGTCGGATACACCCTTACGGGGGATAAGTTGCTTGTGTTGCGATATAGTAAGTCAATGTCATAAAAGGAAATACTCATTATCAAGAAAGCCATCATTGGGACACCCGAACACTCTAGAACACCAGAAGGTGGTGTTTGATATCGCAAGGGCAATGGATAAAGCCCAAGGGACTAAGTCCCTAGCGAATGATGGATAGAAGGTGCTATCCAAATGTCCAAGGTTGCGGAGACAGGAGAGGACTGTCTACCCGAGTTGGACAAAGCCAAAAATGGAATTTTGGCAAGGCTAGTGATGGGCATGTAAAGGCCCATAAGCAACAATGTAATCCCAGTGTGTGGGATTATAAGGTGAGCATACCCGGATTGAGGAACCACTCCCTAGGCTATTGGGTAGGTTCATCCCTAAGAATACTTACTAAAGCATGATAGAAAGTGCAACGCTATCCTCCTGGTCTGGAGGAGAATGACCAAAGGAAAGGTGTGAAGCCAAAAAGCAAGAAGTAAGGGGATAGAACCGAACCATAGGAATCAAAGGGCATAACCAAAGTTGGTTATGCCAGCTGGGAGTGGAGAATCAAGTGGGGGCTCGAGGGTGTTGTCGCTAGCAACCGTGATGCCATGGAGAGTCTAAAATATGGAATTATCCATGTTAGACTATGTGGCATTTTGAAGGCTTGCAAAAAGGGAGGCCTTAGCAAGCTGAGGGACAAAGTTCCTTCAAGGTTCCCAAAGACGATTCTAGGTAGCTTAGTACCTAGAAAGGCCAAGTGTGAATGGTTCATGGAACGCGCGAAATCAGAGTGGCGCAGTAGAAGAGTGGTCTTGAAGCTTGCCATGAGGCAAGGCTATCAAGGTTAG